ACTTAATAATGACACGTAATTCTAAATATATAGCGTGGCTTTTTAAGTATCTACGTAAACTTTTTTTTTTTTTTTTTTTTGCCACATCATCTAAAAGCAACTGGTTACGTGTTGTCTACTTATTTGAAGAGGTAATCAAGACCTTTAAATAAATAAAATGTTTATTTGCGAACCTAAAATGATAATTTAAAAAGTTAATTCCCCAAAATAGAAACTTAAGTGAGACAATGTTGATTCCATTTTGATACAATTTTCATAAGAAAAACCATATTACTACGATAATGATGAGTTATTTGTCCAAGTCTTCTTCAACCATGTTTCTTTTTGTATCTCGTTTTTCATTTATATACATAATAACGTGTTGTGTACAATGCACTTTTAATTGGCAGTTGAATGTATATTCTGTAATTAATAAAATAATTAAAAGAAGCTCTTTAATTAAAATTTTAATCAAATAAATCTAAACAAATTTTTAGCATCTATTAGAGATTAGTATTAAAAACAATAAAACATCAATTCCAGTTAGTAAACATATAAGCTCGTTTTATTTCAATTAGGTAACATAGTTTTAATAACCTAATTGACACTACAATAAAATCGGGTTTATAGGACATTTCCAATTTCTAAGCGTCTTAATAGACCTCTTTATAAAACTTAGTTTGTAGGACCAAAAAAATAAAGCGTCTTATATAAAGGCGTTGTAATAAGTTTATATGATGTTTTTTGACGTCGTAATAAGTTTTTTAGGATACTTTTAATATAAAGCGTTCTATTAGCAACTTTATAGGACACTATTTGAAAAATTGTTTTATAAAAACAATAGTCCTATAAAAAATTGAGTTTATAGGACACTTTTTCAAAAGTGTCCTATAAAGTTATTAATGGGACACTTTTGTCTTAAAAAACTTGTTAAAACGCCCAAAAGCGTCATATAAACTTATTACAACACCTTTAGATATGACGCTTTGTATTTTGGTCCTATAAAGCAGTCTATTGGGACGCTTAGAGATTGGAGGTGTCCTGTAAAGCCAATTTTGTTGTAGTGTGAAATCAAACGTGTTATTTCACCAGCTAGATTGAAATCCCCAACCAATTACGTGTTTTAAAATTCAATTGACAAACCATCATTTCAACAATCAAATGAGTTGTCAATTCAACGAAGATAAATATCGAATAAGACACTGTACATATAGAAAAAGCATCCACAAAATAGTGTGTTGGTCCTTTTTTTTCTTTCTTCTTTTAATGTATCGGGCCTCTGTTGACCGTTCTCCTTGTGAGCCCAACCCTTCTAACACGACTTGACCAAAAAAAAATTCATATTACTTTATTAAGAGCAACTCTAACAGCTGTGTTATATTTTTTCTTTAAAAAAATTAACATACATTCACTAAAATATTTATTTCTAAACTATTCTATTTTAGACAATTTAACATTTATTATATTATTAAAATATTTAATAAAATATTATTTTTTTTCCGTTTTAATCTTTAATTTCAATATCTTTTTGATGTTTTAACAACCCCTAAATTACTAAATTACCCTTGTTTAGGTTTTCTTTTTCTTTTTTTCATACGCTGACCACGAATGACAAACCCTCGAAGTGTTTGCTACGCGTTTCTTTTTCTGTATATGGGGTTCCACTCATGTCCCCATCGATCCATCATCACGTCACTTCACTCCTCCTCAAAGCTTCACCGGTAATTTATTTGAATAATGTTTTAAATAAAACTTTTTTAAAAATCATTTAAAAGGATATATGTGTCATTTGTTGTATATAAATAATATATGAAAATTCATTTATTTCTATAAAGATCATTTAATGCATTTAACTAAGTCTTTATTCATGATTTTTTTTTATAATTTTTGTGATTTAAACATGAATAAAATTTCATTTTTTTCATTTTTTATTTTCTATAACATTTAAAATAAGTGTGATTTAACTGTTCATTTAAAATATTTATTTTTATTGAATTAGTTTATTTAAGGATTTTTTATAATTTTCATCAAAAATCATATGTGATACCTACAATTAATAGAATTTTTTTTCAAAAAAAGAATCACTAATTTTCGCCAATGTATTATATGTGATATCAATTACAGTGGAAAATTATATATGATACTGATTATCTACAACATTATATATGATTATGTATAAATTACGAATTACGTTTTCTCCATGTGATTTTATAGATTTTAAATGTGTTTTTGCTACACTACACATCACATGTGATTTTGTTTTCATTATCTTTCTTTTTTTAATGTTTAATTTGAATAATTGTTTTTTCAAACTTTAAATCACATATGATTAGAAAAACATTTAAAAATAATAATTAATTGTGAATCACATGAGATTTAACGAAAATTGTAATTATTTTTAAATAAAAAATGAATTCTTTAGATGAAAGTTAAATATGCTTATTTTAATTGTATTAAATATAATTTTTTTAAATAAAATTTTAACTATATAGAATCATAAATATGGTAAAAGTAAAATCTTAAATAAATGTCTTAGGGGTCGTTTACCAAACATTTATCCGGTAAGTGCTTACTTGTAAAATTTAACACTATTATTTACTTACCGGATAAGATTTTAGTCCACCAAAACAATATCATATGCAATAATTTACTCCGTAAGCGCTTACCGTGGTAAGAGTAGTCGCTCTCACTTACCAGGTAAGACTCTTGTTTCTTGTCTCTCACTTACCCGGTAAGATTTTTGATCATTACCATATTCATCCCGTAAAGTAATGTAACTTCATGTTCACTTACCCGAGTAAGCGTTTGGTAAACGGCCCCTTAAATAACTTATATATAACCAAATTACATTTATGTCCTTATTTATTTAGTTCTAAAATTAAGTATTTAAGATATTATTTAATTAAATATATGGTCCATATTCATTATGATATGGGTCGGTTTATTCCATCATCTGTAATTATCATTCTAAGACTTGAAGTCAAACTCATGGCATATGTCACGTTATGTCATGTTGGCTTAGTTTGGTCCATTTATTAGTAGCATGGAAATCTCCATTATATAAACCTTGTTTGGTGCATGCAAATAACCATCTCATTACAGAAATTAAACCACCATTTATATTTTGATAAACTAAGCTATGATTTGGTTTTACTTTATTATTCTTCTCTTGCTACGCCCAAACGCTATAAGTGTTGCCGCTTCTCTTGGCAACCAGTTGGTAGCAGTTGCAGAAGGTGGCGGAGATGCTGTCATCAAGTGCTTCCATAAGGAGAAACAAGCTCTTCTTCATTTCAAAGCTTCCCTGCAAGACCCCCTTGGCCAACTCTCTACATGGAGACTCGAAGACGATGATTGCTGTAAATGGAGTGGAGTCACCTGCAACAACCAGACACGTCATGTAACAAAGATCGACCTGTCATCCAATCCTTTAACAGGTCTTCGAGGTCTTGGAGGTGAGGTCAGCCCTTCATTGCTTAACTTAAGCTACTTGAATCATCTTGACCTTTCCTCCAACTCTTTTCATGGACCTATTCTTAATTTCATTGGTTCCATGACTYGATTATCGTACCTTAATCTTTTTTACAAYTCTTTTCATGGAACCATTCCCAACTCCATTGGTTCCATGACTCGGTTATCGTACCTTGACCTTTCTCTCAATTCTTTTAATGGAACCATTCCCACGTCCATCGGTTCCTTGACCAAATTAAGGTACCTTGGCCTTTCAGACAACTCACTTCATGGAACTATTCCTCCAGAACTTGGGAAACTCACAAACTTGCAATATCTTTCACTTGAACAACTTGCAAGATGTAGCGTTGAAAACCTAGATTGGTTGTCTAATCTTTCTCGTTTGGAATACCTTCATATGGATGAGATTTCCCTAGCCAAAGCAAATCACTGGGTAGATATCATTCTAAGTCTCCCGAAACTAACAAGTTTAAGTTTACAGAGATGTAACCTTTCAGAGGTCGTGTATCCGTGTTCATCATTTGTCAATGCTTCTTCTTCATCTATTGGATTTCTTGGACTCGGAAGTAACAATCTCAACTCATCTATGTATCGCTGGTTGTTCCCATTAACAAGCAATAAACTTCTCTTTCTTGACCTCTCTAACAACATGTTAGATGAGATACCCAAATATCTTGGAAATCTTTGTARTTTGACATACTTAAATCTCTACAAAAATCCTGTAGTCGTCACATTTGCTGATTTTCTAAACAATTTGTCTGGATGCACAACGGTTACATTGCAAGTGTTGGATGCATCGTATAACCAGCTTGCAGGGCCATTGTCCGATGAGATACAAAAGTTTTCATACCTACAAAATCTGATCCTATCTAATAATCACTTAAACGGGACTATGAGTGGAAAAGTGTGGGAACTACCCAATCTTCAAGTTCTAGATGTTTCTTCCAATTCTCTTGCTATCTCTCAAAACATTGAAAAGTCGAAGCTTGGGTATACAGATCTTTCAAACAACTCGCTTCAAGTGGTTCCTTCCAAAGATCATATATTAGTCCATTCCTACACCGAGCGTATTTATTTAAGCGGTTGCAAGGTAGGGCCTCTCTTCCCCAAATGGCTTCAAACCTACAAAAAACTTACCATTCTTAATGTCGCCAATGCTAGAATTTCAGACACGATTCCTGCGGAGTTTTGGAAGACATGGCCTTCACGATTGACTAATCTGAATCTCTCTTCCAACAACATCAGTGGGAGAGTACTAGATTTATCATCGAATTTTGACCTCTATGCAACAATAGACTTGAGTTCCAACAACTTCTATGGGCCAATACCGAATGTTCCTCCCACTTTGCTATCGTTGAATCTTTCCAAAAACAAATTCTATGGTGGAATATCCTTCTTATGCCAAATTGTTGACGGGTTCTTATCATTTCTTGACCTCTCCCACAACTCTTTAACTGGGCAACTTCCTGACTGTTTGTGGCATTTCAAACAACTGAAAGTTCTCAATCTAGGACAAAACAGTCTTTCTGGAAGGATTCCTGCTTCTATAGGATATTTGGTTCAACTTGAGGTGTTGCACTTATACAACAATAACTTCTCAGGAGAATTGCCTTTGGCTTTGAAGAACTGCACAAATCTAAATTTTATGTATTTGGGAGCCAACAAGTTTTTTGGTAATGTGCCAGATTGGATTGGGGAAAACTTAACACGATTGTATGCTCTTATCCTCAGATCAAACAACTTCTTCGGACCCATTCCTTTACAACTATGTCATCTTGTGAACCTTCAGATCCTAGACTTGTCAAGGAACAACCTCAATGGAACCATCCCATCATGCATTAAYAATTTGASTGCCATTGTTCARGGAAGATATTTGCAAAGCCGRAACATACGCCAGCCATTGGCTTACAAAGCTAATGCTACTTTACTTGACATTTTCTTTAACTATGTTGACAACGGGATGATTCAGTGGCAAGGAATTGAACGCGAATTCACCARCAATCTGGGATTGTTAGCGAGCATTGATTTGTCAAGCAACAACTTAACRGGAAAAATCCCAAATGAATTGGTCGATCTTCATGAACTGCTTGCACTGAATTTGTCGAAGAACACTCTACTTGGAGAGCTTCCAATAAAAATTGGCGAGATGAAAAATCTTTTAACTCTGGATTTATCTAGAAACAATTTTTCAGGAGCAATACCATCAAGCATGTCTCAAATGGCTTCATTAAATTACCTAGATATGTCGCATAACAATTTGTCAGGGAGAATTCCATCTAGCACTCAACTCCAGTCCTTTGAACCTTCAAAGTTCACMGGAAATGCAGGACTATGTGGACCTCCYCTTACAAAAAATTGTCCTGGAGATGTAGTACCACCTGTTGCAAGTAAAAATGAGAATGGTGAGGAAGGCATAGATGAACTTGAGAGATGGTTTTATATTGGTGGGGGCATTGGTTTTGGTACTGGATTTTGGATAGCATGTGGCGCTTTACTTGTCAATCGTCGTGGGAGACATGCTTTTTTTCCTTTTGTTGATTTCTGGAAGGATTGGGTGTACGTAAAGGTGGTGGTGTTCTTTCGAAAACTGCGAAGGGTTGAACATGCATAGTGATATAGTGGTCTATATTTCGTCTTATTGTTGTTACTTTGGTGCTAGAGATATGTTTAGTACTTGTATTTGGTATGGGTTTAAGTCCCAATCATGAATAAAATTGCCACCAACACCATGGGTGGCCATTTCCCTGTTGTGTGAGGAATAGGATATAGGGCACCCTTCAAGGGAGAAATATTCATGGGTACATAGATTAAAACATCATGAGTTGTTAAAAACCAGATATTTGATGCAAATAGGTGATGTTATAGTTTCAGACGTTGAAAAAAAAACACATTTCAAGATTCAGAAATTGCATGAACATTAACTGACTATAGAGCTCGCAAAATAGAAGGCAAATAAGAAGAAAAAACCGTTGCAAAATGAAATACCATTTAGGGAAAAACAATTCTAATACAAAACCTCAACTTGAAAGGTGGTGTAGGAAAAAGGTGGTGCCTCATCTGATGTCATCATCATTCTTCTGTTCACTGTGTCAATGGGGTCTGATGCAAGACCAGCACCATTCATAATCAGCCACCCAAGAGTAAAGCTTGCAAAGAAGCTAGCTATCCTGAAAATACAAATCAACACCATTGGTCACTTACACAAACTTATGATAATCATCCCTTAGAATAGGTAAAACATAGAACAAAAGATCTAACCTGCATTGATCCAGTCAGAAGAACTGGCTTCAAAGAGTCGTACGTTCCAAAGTACAAACTATGATACGAAACACAGGAAATGTTGATGCCAGAGAGGAACATTCTCTAATACCCTTGTATGGTTGAGAAAGACGTGCAGTATGTTGGTGATGTATTTGGATGTTCCTGAGTCATCCTTAAAGATAGGAAGGCTGACTCCTCCTAGATATTTTTGAACATATTGTATATCACTGTATTATATAGAAAAGATTGTTAGGCCATTGTATTAGAAAATCAGTTCTGTATGATGAAACCGTAAGGCCTTTTACCAATTATTTCTGTGTTTACAATTTTGATCATCTCATCTTGGTTTTGGATCAAGCAGCAGCAGTTTTCGACACAGCAGCAGTTTTCGACACAGCAGCAGAAACACCATTCTCTGATGGAGCTTGAACAAAAACAGAAGAAGAATTTGCAGCTACCAATGATTGTATCACTGGATAATGGAACCCTGCATTTGTATAATTCCTTTAAGCTGAAGGTACCATAACAAGATCGAACATCCCGGGAAAAGTGGTAGATGGCTGGCTAATGTACTAACAGTGGCTGAATACTGTTTTTGATCAGCCATTGTGTAGCATATGGGGGTCAAGATTGAACTTAGGAAACAATCAAATAACATGCATTGAATCATATTCAAACCTAAATCAGTGATTATAGAATGCAAGTCAACCCTGTATTATATGAAATGGTGTAGATTCTCTACCATTCAAATTGAACTATACTCAGTAATGTGAGAGAGTCCCTAGAATAGTATGGTTAGCTCAAGTCCACCATTAGCTGTTTGTTAATGTATCTGAACTTATCATAAATTATCTATCAATATGATTTAGGGTTATGTGAATTTCATCAAAAGTCTTGGTATGGAGATGATGACTTCAAATATTAGGCAGAGAAGTAAGGCCATCCACATAGGGCTTGCAAAACCCTTTCAAAAGGAATTGCAAATGGCCACCTCACCATAGTTTTGTCTAACACTTGCAAATTTTGCAATTGTTATTGCAATGTCACGTAGACCCAAACAAACTTTTTTAATACATAAAATTAATTACGCTTATTTAATATATATATATATATATATATATTTTAAATAAAATATAAATACAATCATAATAAATATGTTTAATTAATATAGTTAAATTAATTTAAACATTAAATTTTATCATCACCTAAAATTAAAATTATACATATTAAAACATATAATATTGATAAAGTTACATATAATCTAAGGTATATATAATCTAAGCTATAAAATTACATATAAAACATATTATTAATTAAAAAATAATTAGAATGTATATATAAATAATTTATAAAATAGTTAATAAATGTTGTAATGGGGACCACTTTTGAAAGTGTAGGTAAATTACAGGTGTGTAGGTGGTAATTACAAAAGCTGATGTAGCACAATTGAAAATGTAAATGAATTGCAGGGATGTGGATGGTCTAAGAAACATAAACAAAGCTGCAGAGGAATTCAGGACCTAACTTTGAACTTTGAAGTGATGAATGAATCGACGTTTGAGTTTTAGCCCAGGCCCATCTTAGTTCTATAGTGGGTTTAAATAAAAAAAATCTGATAATAAAAATATCAGTGTTTAAGGTGAAGCCCAGGCCTTGATAATACTAATCATTTTTATTTTATCATTCAAATTTCAAATCATTAAACTTTATAAAAACTATAGATAAATATGAATAAATGAGTCAGGTTCATATGATAAGAGCAATCAAATAGAATAATAAGAAAATGATTCTGAATCACACATGATTTTGTATGTAACATTGGTATAAAATCACATGTGATTCATCTCATTTTATGTTCTTTTAAATATGTATCATTATTGTTTGATCCTTCCTCTATATCTATGTCTCTATCTCTCTCTCTCTCTCTCTCTCTATATATATATATATATATATATATATATATATATATGTTATTTCATGAAATCAAACTCAATTACCGTATATATTTTATTTCATCCCATCATAACTCACTGCTACTTTCTGCAATTTAAAATATGGGTTCAATGATTCGAATGATCCCATCGGCCATCCCTACATAAAAATCAAAACACTTGTATTTCATATCGCGAAAAATATAACGTTTTGTTTTATAACATTCTTAGAATAAGTAACCTAATACCTTAATGAAGAAGTTAGGGCTGGAAATTGAAATTGAAATTGAAATTGAAATTAAAATTGATAGTCAAGTAACCTGGTGGAAATCGCTGTGATTGAGGTGGAGTTACGGAGTTGCGAAGTGCGGGTGGAATTGATCGCTGGTGCCTGATGAATCGATGTCGTCGGGAGTGGTGACACTGGTGAGTGAGGTGATGAATGAGTTTAAGACTTCAGTGGAGGGGAGCCCACAGCCCAGGCCCATATCACTTGTATACAAGTCCAGGCCCAGGCCAATATCATCCCATTCTTACGCTTCTTCTCATTTTAATTTTCTATTTCTCATTCAATCTCGGAACGAGTGATGATCACATAAGAATAGAAGTTAAAAGCGTGATATATATAAGAAGTCTTAATGGTCGTTTGACAAACACTTGATAAGTATTTATGATAAAATTTAACACTATTATTTATTTATCAGATAAGATCTTAGTCAACAAAAACACACCATATACAACAATTTACCTGTAAGCCAACCGTCGTAAGAGTCGTTGCCCTCACTTACTGGGTAAGACATTTCGTCTTTGTCTCGCTTTTACTAGATAAGATTCTTGATCCTTAATCATATTTATTATGTAAGGTAATGTGACTTAATGAACGTTTATTCAAATAAGTGTTTTGTAAATGACTTCTTAATAGGACCAATTAAGGATACTCTATAATGAGTTTCAACGGAATTTTGGGAAGATATAAAAGCTAAGCACATATTCCCATGGTATAACATTAAGTATATCTATACTATATTATAAAGCATTTGGCTAAAACTCTTAAAAACTCTTAAAACTCTTAAACCCGTTCATCTCTAATCAATTTCATCCCTATCCGATTTCATCCCATAACTGAATTCGTGTAACTAACTGCAGATAAACACAATCAAATACAGGATAAACATATAATTTTAAATATAAAAAATATAAGATATAATTAGAATAATCATTGAGTTCTAACAAAATACTTAATTATTATCTTTATAAAATGTTATATTATTAAACCAAAAATAAATTATTTCATTATTAAACTTAAATTAAATTAAAAAAAAATCTATACTATATTATAAAGCATTTGACAAAAACTCTTATAAACTATTTTTTATACGTAAA